GTACTGATGTTTTTTTTAAAAAAGTAAATATATTAAATTTAAGGGGCTAAAATCAAAGTGTATTTCTGGGAAGGTTAGGGGGAATGAAGAACAAAACTTACGCGAGCTGCTATTCCGTTGCGGGTTACCATTATGATGGGGCAGATGGGCCGGTATTTGGAGAGGAGGCGGGCGGAGTGGCCGCTGGAAAAGGGTATTGTGAGCATGCGAATATATTCAATTATTCAAATTAATTTTTATGGGGATATGGAATTCCCCCCTTAACTTACCTAGTCGTCAGGACCAAGATAGCACCCGCGTTCAATTCCAAACTGGCAGAGACCGCAGCCATAGCAATGGACTCAACGGTATCCATAGGCCGCGGCGCCAGGTTCCGCAACTCATCAAAAACATTGACATAAGGAATGGACAACCTCCGCAATCAGGCACGTCTCCTGCATCATTGTGACAGCCTCCTTGGGGTAATCACCTTTCGCCGTCTCGCCAGACAACATGACACAGTCCGCGCCATCTTGCACCGCATTGGCGACGTCCGAGACCTCAGCACGCGTTGGGCGTGGATTATACGTCATGGACTCGAGCATCTGGGTCGCGCAAATGACCGGCTTGCCCTTGATATTGCACTTGGCAATCATCATCTTCTGCGCAATGAAAACCTTGGCGGCGGGGATTTCGATACCCAAATCGCCACGCGCGACCATGACGCCGTCGGTCTCCTCGAGGATCTCGTCGAAGTTGTTGACTCCCTGCTCATTCTCGATCTTGGCGATGATCTGGATTTCCTTGCCTTCTTCGCCCAGGACTGCGCGGATATCGCGGATGTCGGAGGCGCGGCGGATGAAGGAGGCGAAGATCATGTCGACTTTGTTCTTCACGCCGAAGCGGAGGTCTTGCTTGTCCTTCTCGGAGAGAGCGGGGAGGTCGATGTCGGTGCCGGGCAGGTTGACACCCTTTTTGGAGGAGATGACGCCATTGTTCAGACACCTGGCACGCAGGGAGCTGTCGTCTATGATTTCGAGAACTTCGAATGATAAAATACCATCGTCCACATATATAAGCTTTCCCTTCTCGATCACTTTGGTGATGTTTTTGTAGTCGACGTATCTATCAATGGGGATTAGCATTGTCCTTGCAAGTTCAGATCATCATAGCAAGGGCAGGAGAAAACCAACAGGTAATGGAGATCACTCTTCTCAGCATAGTCGTTATGAGACGTAATAACCAACTCCGTCCCTTCAGTTATTTTGATATCCTTGCCACCGACCGTTTTCCCGGTTCGAATCTCAGGTCCTTTCTATTCAATTGTGGAGTGAAAATAACCGTCAACTCCCGAGCTCGCTCTAGCGGTTGTGAACATAGTTTATAGCAGCGGTCATTTGCTTAC